TATTGTTGTTGTTATTGTTGTTTTATAATTGTTGTTTATAATTTTTACAATTAACCTCCCTGTGGTTCGACCCCGGTCTTGCCGGGTTATTTATTACTTCGACACTCCTGCACTTGGGAGAAGACATCAACCTTTTAGTCGTGTCAGCTCTCTATATGCATTTTCTAAATGCCTTTTCGTATCATTTTAGTGGCAATCAATTATGATCAGTGCTTTTATTCTCTATGGTTTAGTTTAATTTTGGCTCTACTTACATTGTTTACATGTTGTGTTTATTGGTGTGTTGTTCATCCTTTGTTAAGATATTGACATGTCTATGTGCCATTACACTTTCTATATGCATTTTCCGAATGCCTTTTCTTATCATTCTAGTGGCAATCAATTATGTTCAGTGCTTTTATTCTCTATAATTTAGTTTAATTTTGGCTCTACTTATATTGCTTACATGTTGTGTTCATTAGTATGTTGTTCATCCTTGGTTAAGATATTGACATGTCGTAGGTGCCGTCGTCCTTGTTTACTAGTCTTGAATCTTTGATGTATTTCTTACATCGTGTTCTTTATTTTGTTTTTTGATCTTCCTATCATGCTTTATTGGCTCTTTTTTTATTACTCAAGTTTTTAGCAGTTTTTTGATAGGGGTAGTGGTCTATGTTGTTCTTTATTGGTTTTAATAAGCTGATCTTGGGCATTGCTTTGTAAACTAGCTTGTTCAACACTTAAGCTTTATTGTTTTTTTGCATTTTAAAAGCGTTTTTGAGAAAAATTAATTTTTTTATTTGCTTCAAATTAATATTTTTTTGGTGTTTTTAAATCATTTTTATGCACTGATGTTAAAAATAATTTTTTAAAAATAATAATAAAATATTATTTTGATATATTTCTAAGTGAAAAACACGTTAAAAAGTAACCGCAATCACACTCTCAAACACGCTATTAATCTGTTTAGTGTTGTTAGCCATGCTTTCTGAGTTTTACATTCAAATTAGATGTTTTCTTTGCTAACCACTTTGATTTGAAATTGGTATGTGGAATTTATTGGTTTAGGTACACTCTGCATTTTTTTCTATGTTATTTGCTGCCACAAGGTTTTCTTCTTTATATTATTTTTTCTTTCCCTTTATTGGTTAACGTTATGAATGTTAATTTGCCATAATTTTTTTTACTGTATTGATACGGGTTTTGTCCTACTAAAAAGTGACCTCTTGTGTTCTTATATGTCTTCGATATGATACTGTCCATGATGTTAGCAACTGTTTTCCCCTTTACTTATAAGTTTGCCATGCTTTGGTTCTGTTTTGTTAAAGTTTAATTATACATTTTGTCTCTTAATTTGGACTTATTCATTGAATTCTGCTTAGATCATCAAGAAAAGCAAAATATAATTTTACAAGAGTTTCTTATTTAACTTTGATTATTTTTGCTTGACCGAGTTTCATGTTTTTTCTAAATCATTTGTGTAATATACCTTCATTTTGCTACTGCAATTATTACTATTTATTTGCTCAAACTGTCCAAATATTTTTTTTCCTCATTATTTCTCTCCTTTTGTTTTTCCTTTCTCAACATGTTTATAATTTTCTAGCTACACTAATATGTAGGGAATTTCGACCGGTGATGTTTTGATAATTGTTCATTCAAGACTAAGCACACTGACATAATATTTAACGTGATTCGACAAATTACCTACAACTATAGGAGAAGCCATTTTTATTATATAGGGAGAGAACAAGAATGTACAATAATGAAGGAGGAATTATCCACTTTACTCTACTCCCATCACTCATCTTCTCTCTTAGTAGTGCTGTAGTGACAATCATTGCTTGCTGCCCTTAGCAACTCACTTTCTCCTATATTTCTTACATTCTTAGTTGTACCCTCTCTCTCTCTCTCTCTCTTTATGTTGCTCTCTTGGTGCATATTTATAGGCAATAATGGTGCCACCAACTCCAGCTCATCTTCGATAATGATGGCTGTAAACTTTGACATTTCAGATAGGCTACTGTATCTGTCAATGGACGGTGCTGTCCATTAATGGTTGCTGCATATTAATGCAACAAACCTAACAATCACCCCTTTTACCATTTATGTGGGGGCAATTGTCCTCTTGTTTATTCAGCATAAGTTAGCTCCTTGTAGCTTTTCCAAGCTTACCATTTTAAAAGCGTCTTTGGCCAAGTTTATAGGTACTTGCTACACCTTTTAATCACCAGAGTCACCAAAGCACGCACTTGTTCACACCAAAGGATTACTTCAACTAGATGGTCTCCCACATCACATCTAAAGAGTGTTAACGCTTGTCTTTAGGACACACAACATTTCCTTTCGAGCGTATCAACCATGCTCGATCCAGAATGATTTATCAAGCCTTTTGATTAGTAATTAAAAGTGAATTATTATTAAGGCTTTAAATCATCATATTGTACTTTTAGTATCATTAAATTCCCTAACTTAAACATGTTTTTATAATAACAAGTTTGATAATATAGGTAGATCCAATTTATGGTAAATGCTCATTTTAAATGTAGACATATCACACAATTCAAAATATTGATTAATGTGATTGACTATTGAAAACAAAAAGACAAATAAAGGGCTAAGGTTAGAGAAAAGTTTTTGAATCAACTGGAACATCATTCAATCATTTGATCATATCTGGAGTTATGAACCTTGGATGTATGTTTGGTTTATTAATCTGGAAAGTTAAGGCATAGGTGATTGGTACTTAAAAGTGTATTTTTATCAAGGTTTTATATTATTATTTTGCACTTGAAGTATTAATAACTTCTTAAGTAAAACATGTTTTATAGTAACATATCTAATAATATAAGATACCTTTAATTTATGGTAAATATTCATTTTAAATACATATTATCACATAAATGAAAGGAATGATTGATGAGTTTAAGAATTGAAATTGAAAGGATAAAGAGATGACCAAACTTAGAAAAGAGATGTTGGTACAGTTCAAATCAGAACACTGTTCGGTAATTAGGTCATATCTGGAGCTGTAGATCTTAGAGTTAGGTCTACTTTATATGGATGGAAAGGTAAGACATAGGCCTCCAACTGTCATGGAGCCCAATATTTGAAAATGCCATTTTCAAGTCCAAATTATAGCAATAATGAAGAAGTCCGAATCTATTCTGCAGCTCGAATACTGTTCAGTGTTTAGCCCATATCTGGAGTTTTACAAGTCTAAATGACCTCAATTTGTTTTTCTGAAAAGATGAGATAATTTTCTAAAACTTTCATGTTTTCAAGTGGTTCAAATTCTGATGTTATCAATCATGTTTTAGACAGACAAAAGAAGATAATGATTGTCACCAAGGCAAGAGTTGGCTACCCATTCATCAATTAGCTATTAAATCAATAGTTTCTAATTTTGGCCTATAAAAGGAGGCATTACCATGCATTTAGGCATCTTAGTTTTCAGATCAAGATCATGCTCTTGCTTTCTCTCTTTGTATTGCTTATATTTTGCTTTCATTACTATCAAGTTTATGCCTTTCATTTTCTTTTCTTTACTTAGTTAACTTTTACCTTATTTTGTTTATTTATGTTTCTCTTTTTCATTATGTTTAGCTAAGTTTATTATGTCAAGGTGAAAATGTTACACTAATGGTGTAAGAATAAGTATAGTGTAAACTTAACATGGATTTTAATGTTTGATACTAACATATTTTGTATTTATTGTCTTGTTCACTCTTTAATACTTTGCTTGTTAAATGGTTAATCTAGATTTATATTGTATAACACTTGGTACAACAAATATTTGGCACTTTCATAGCCCATACTGTATGGTATAACCTACACCTGTGCTATGAAAGAAACTTGATTTGTTGTTAACTGATTGATACTTAAAAGTGCATTTTTATCATGGTATTATATCATCATTTTGCACTTGAAATTTCAATAACTCCTTAACTTAAATATGTTTTATAATAATGTATCTAATAATATAAGATACCTATAATTTATGGTAAATGTGTATTTTTAATGCAGGCCTATCACATAAATGAAAAGATTGATTAATGACTTGAATAACTTAAATTGCATGGATAAAGAGATGGCCAAACTTAGAAAAGAGTTGTCGGTGCAATCCAAACCGAAACACTGTTCGGTAATTGGGTCATATCTGGAGCTACAGATCTCAGATGTAGGTCCAATTTATATGGATGGAAAGGTAAGACATAGGCCTACAACTTTCATATGGAGCCCAAGATCTAAAAAGGCCATTATCAAGTCCAAATTGTAGCAACAACAAAGAAGCCCGAATCTGTCTTCCAGCCCGAGCACTGTTCGGTATTTTGGCCATATCTGGAGTTCTAGAAGTCCAAATGAGCTGAATTTTTTACACAAGAAAGCTGAGACAATTGCCTACAACTTTCATGTTTACAACTGGCTCCAATTTTGACGTTATCAATGACGTTTTGGGCAGACAAGAGAAGATAAGGATTGTCACCAAGTCAAAAGTTGGTCACCCACTTATCAATTAGTCATCAAATCAATAGTTCCCATTTTTGGCCTATAAAAGGAGGCATTTGCCATGCATTTAGGCATCTTGGTGTTCAGATCAAGATCATGCTCTTCCTTTCTCTCTTTGTATTTTTTATGCTTTGTTTTCATTAATATTAAGTTTATGCCTTTCATTTCCTTTCCTTTACTTAGTTAACTTTTATGTTCTTATTTTGTTTATCTATTTTTCTTTCTTTCATTATGTCTAGCTAAGTTAATTATGTCAAGGTGAAAAGGTTACACTAATGGTGTAAGAATAAGTATAATGTAAACTTAATATGGACTTTAATGTTTGATACTAACATGTTTTATATTTGCTATCTTGTTCACTCTTTAATACTTTGCTTGTTAAATGACTAATCTTGATTTATGTTGTATAACACTTGGTACAACAAATGCTTGGCACTTTCATAGCCCATAATGTATGGTATAACCGACACCTGAGCTATGAAAGGAACTTGATTTGTTGTTAACATAAGTTATAATCATGAATGCTTGAACTTGCATTTAAGGGAATTTGAGGAGGTTTGCAACACATATAATAATTTAAATTGTAGCATGAACACCATTAGATTAAAGCTTTTTCCTTTTTCATTAAAAGATAAAGCTAAAACATGGCTACAAAATTTAAGACCAGGATCCATTCGTGCTTGGGATGAAATGCAACAACAATTTTTAAAGAAGTTTTTCCCATCTCATAGAACAAACTCTTTCAAGAGACAAATCACCACTTTCACTCAAAAACCAGGAGAAACATTTTACCAATGTTGGGATAGGTATCGAGACTTGCTTAGTACTTGCCCTCATCATGGTTTTGAAACATGGAGATTGGTTTCACATTTCTATGAAGGGTTAACACCTAAAGATAGGCAAATGGTTGAATTGATGTGCAATGGAACTTTTGAAGATAAAGACCCTGATGAAGCAATGGAGTACTTAGACTTGTTAGCTGAAAATGCTCAAAATTGGGACACTGCGGGTACATATGAGGCACCGAGTAAAACTCAACCTCATACATCTAGTGGAGGTATGTACAACCTTAGGGAAGATCATGACCTTCAAGCCAAATTTGCATCTTTAGCTAGAAAAGTTGAGGCACTAGAATTGAAAAAGAGTGGTCAATTAAAATCTATTGAAAACATTGTATGTCAAATCTGTGAAACAAATGAACACTCAACCAACGATTGTCCAACCTTGCCTTCTTTTAAAGAATATCTCCATGAACAAGCCCATGCTTTAAACAGTTTTCAAAGGGCTAACCATAACCCATACTCCCAAACATACAACCCTGGTTGGAGAAATCACCCAAATTTCAGTTGGAAGAGTGAGAACAACAATGCACAAACTTCACAACCACCATTTCAAGCACACCATAATTTTCAAAATTCTCATGGATATGCACCTTTTTGTGCTCCACCTCCTAGAAGAAATCTTGAGGAAACATTGCATGCATTCATTGAAAAGCAAGAGACAATCAATACTCAACTTGCTCAAAACATGACAGATTTTAAAGATACTCTTGCTAAATTAACATCTGCTCTCAGTTTCCAAGAGAAAGGTAAGTTTCCATCTCAAACACAACAAAATCCCAAAGGGCAATACAATGCAAATGCAAGTAGTTCTGGAAGCCAACACATGGATCAAGTCAAATCAGTCACTACTCTACGCAGTGGTAAGGTTATTGAAAAACCCTCTCTTGAACCTTATGAGAAAGATGATGAGTCAATCTCTGAGGGTAAGGAAGGTCAATCTCTGAGGGTAAGGAAGGGGACGACTGATTCACCACCAACACTTCCATTTCCTCATGCCATGACCAAACAAAGGAAAGTCAATCACAAGTCTGAAATTTATGAAATTTTCAAACAGGTAAGGATCAATATACCTTTGTTGGATGCTATTAAACAGGTTCCTTCCTATGCTAAATTTTTGAAAGATCTATGCACTGTGAAGAGGAAACTGAATGTGAAAAAGAAAGCCTTTCTAGCCGAACAAGTAAGTGCTATTCTTCAAAACAATAATGCTTTGAAATATAAAGACCCTGGTTGTCCTACAATTTCTTGCTTTATTGGAGACCATAAAATTGAAAAAGCCTTACTTGATCTTAGTGCTAGTGTGAATTTACTTCCATATTCAGTTTTTCAGAGTCTCAATCTAGGTGAGTTAAAACCAACTTCTATATCTCTTTTACTTGCCGATAGATCTGTAAAAGTGCCTAGAGGAATAATTGAAGATGTGTTAGTACAAGTCGATAAATTCATTTATCCTGTGGATTTTATTGTCTTGGACACAGAACCTGTTGAAGCATGTAATTCATTTCCTGTTATTTTAGGACGTCCATTTCTTGCAACCTCTAACGCATTGATTAATTGTAGGAATGGACTGATGAAGCTATCATTTGGAAACATGACATTGGAGATGAATATTTTCAACATTTGCAAGCAACCTGGAGATGATAATGATTTACAAGAAGTAGATCATATTGACAAATTAGTTTATGATCAACTTGAATCTACTTTAAGTAAAAATGAATTGGATGAAACTGAAGATTTGCAAATGACTTATTCTGAGGAAGAAATCACGGATGAAAAACGCATAGAAAATGTTGATGCGAATCTTTTGTCAACAATGACAACAAATTCGACATCTGACATCACACCAATCGATGATTACTTTCCTAACGAATCCTTACTTTCTCTCAGTCCAATGCCTTGGTATGATAAAAATATCAATTTTCTTGCTTTAGGAGATTTGCCAGCTGATTGGAGTACTCAAGACAAAGAAAAGTTTTTGAACGAAGTGAAGAGCTTTTATTGTGATGACCCTAACTTATTCAAATATTGTCCTGATCAAATATTTCAAAGATTCATTCCCGACAATGAGGTAAGTAGTGTCATTAAACTTTGTCATTCTGAAGCATGTGGGAGTTATTTTTCGTCAAAAAAGACAGCTGCAAAAATCCTTCAAAATGGATTTTATTGGCCCACCATGTTCAAGGACACACCTGCATTCTGCAAAACTTGTGAAAATTGTCAAAAAATTGACACTGGTCAAAAAATTTTGTTTTATGATTCTCAAATCTATTCATTCCCTAAAAAGCTAAGATCAAGATGGAGCAATCCTTATGGGGCCTGTGATATTGAGAATTCAATGAATGACAATGTTTTTAAGGAAAATGGACATCGTTTGAAAGCTTACTTTGATAATTTTCCTAGTGAAAATGAATCAACTGGTTTGAATGATCTTGTAGATAAAGGTTGATTATTTTGTTTTTCTCACATTTTCTTTTTTGTGTTTCTTTTTGAGTGATTTTTGCTAGTTTCTCTCACCCCGGTCAAATGGCGGACAACGGTACTCCGTGACTTAAGTCGGTTCTTTCAGTTTCCCACAATAACTGATATTTGTGTATATATCTGTGCAATTCTTTAAATCTCTCTTCCAATTCTCATTTGAAAATGGACACTAATCTTGAAAAATTAAAAAAGTATTTTTCCGCTCTGCCTCAAAATACGATTACAAAAATTTACCATGCTAGATGTGCAAGATTGAGATTGTTAATGAATCATGGAATTCCTGAAGATATTCGCTGGTTGATTGAAGTAAAGGTTCGATTATCAGGTGAGTCCTCTAACTTCATTTCACACTTGCCTGGAACAGGTAAAAGCACTTTTGCAAAGAAACGTCGTGCAAAACGACTGGATGTTTGTCATCGATGTGCTAGATGGACATGTAATACACAATGTCGTTCTTTAGGAATGGTATCTATAAACCGTGAAGATAAAATATCTTCACGGTTTATAGATACCATTCCTAAAGAACGACATTAGGATGGCCTGAGTAAGGAGTCTTTAGATAATCTTCTATTGACTCTTGAGACGCATTCTAGTGGAGATGTGCATCGTGTAATTCATGATTTATGGCCACTATTTCATAAAGAACATAATCGACTTAGTCTTGGGAATCTGACTAAAAAAGACCCTGTTTGCTAGTTTTTAAGAAAACTGGATGGGAAGCCTATCCCCGACCCATAGAGGGCGTTTAAGCCGTTCTTGGACGTAAAACCAAGGGAAGATGTGCGTTCTTGAACGTAAAACCAAGGGAAGATGTGAGCCACAATCACAACTACCTGTACATACACATGCTTTTTCAAAAGTAAATAAATAAATAAATAAAAAGTGAGAGAGTGAGTGTGAGACTCCAGCTGGCCTACATATAGATGTTATGATTGCCTTTCTCATTTCTCATCTATAAAACCCTCTCTTCCTTCCTTTCATTTCTACTCAACCCATACATTCAACAAATTCAGAAGTGTGTAGAAATGGCAAGTTCCTCAAGTCATCAAATAAGAAATATTTGTGTTTTCGGTGGATCTAGTCCTGGGAAAGAAAAGGAGTTTTTAGAATCAGCAAACCATCTTGGTCAGGTGCTAGCTGAGAGAAAGATTCATTTAGTGTATGGGGGAGGCAGTCTTGGGTTAATGGGAGGTGTGTCAATAGCTGCATTTTTAGGAGGTAGTCAAGTTTTGGGGGTCGTCCCTGAAGCTTTGGCACAAGGGGACATCATTGGAAAAACAATTGGAGAGGAACTTCAGGTCTCCACAATGTCGGCTCGAACAGGTCTCCACAATGTCAGCTCGAATGAATGCAATGTTTAACCATGCTGATGCCTTCATTGCTTTACCAGGTGGTCTAGGCACATTGGAAGAGATCTTTCATATTTCCTCTTGGGCTCAATTGCACATTCACCATAAACCCATAGGTTTGTTAAATGTTAATGGTTATTATGATAAGTTGTTGTCTTTTCTTGATCATGCTGTGGAACAGGAATTTCTAACATCTTCTGCATGACAAATCATAATCTCTGCTACTACTGCTGAACAATTGATTGACCAACTACAATCTTTCATTCTTGTGATTGATCCTTCCATGAGTCGTATAAATTGGTCATCTACGGGAAGCCGTAAAAAGCTTAGATTGGATTTGAGCCTTCATTTGTGAATTTTTGTGTCTTTTGGTTTTGTTATTGTGTTTTATTATTTCTTATTTTTGTTTTAGTGTGTTTCAGGTTTTGTCAGTGTTCGTTATTTCAGGTGATATCTTCTATACTCTATCTTTCTACCTTAGAACATTGAGGACAATGTCTCGTTTTGGTTGGGGGGAGAGGGTAGTAGCTGATAAAAAAAAAATTGTTTTTCATTTCATAAAGCATGTGCATAATTGTTATTACTAGGATGGCAGAGTAAATGAGTTCTTTTGTTAAAGTGACTCTTGAGACGCATCTTAGTAACCATTCTTAACAAGGTCTATTATAATACTTCCTGAAATATTCAGGTTTACAAACTCTCGTATTGTTACCACTTAATATTCAGATTTACAAACTCTCGTATTGTTACCACTTAATTCTGCTCATATACTTATTTAACATGTATTTTTAAACCTTAATTTACACACACACACTTTAACATATGATTATGGGTTGCAAAAGTAGTAGACTTTGTAGGGTATCTTATCACTTTCAGAAAATATAGCCGAAGAAGATAACCAGTCACTTTATAATGAGAATAACCATGTTAGAACACTTAGAGATCACATGATCCCACAAGAACAAGTGCACCATCCGGCATAGTTTCTCCCTCTAATACATCTTATTTTAATTTTAAGCCAAATATTATTCAACTTTTACCTTTTTTTAATGGCTTAGATTTGAAAAATTCATACTTGCATTTAAGGGAATTTGAGGAGATCTGTAACACCTATAATGACTCAACTTGTAGCATGAACACTATTAGATTAAATGTTTTTTTTTTCATTAAAAGATAAAGCTAAAACATGGCTATAAAATTTGAGAACTGGATCCATTAATGCTTGGGATGAAATGCAACAACAGTTTTTAAATAAGTTTTTTTCTTCTCATAGAACAAACTCTTTTAAAAGACAAATCATCACTTTCACTCAAAAACCAGGAGAAACATTTTACTAATGTTGGAATAGATATCAAGACTTGCTTAATATTTGTCCTTATCATGGTTTTGAAACATCGAGATTGGTTTCATATTTTTATGAAGGGTTAACACTTAGAGATAAGTAAATGGTTGAATTGATGTGAAATGGAACTTTTGAAGATAAAGAACCTGATGAAGCTTTGGAGTACTTAAACTTATTAGCTGAAAATGCTCTAAATTAGGACATTGTA